GTGAGCTTCTGGGCTTCGGGCCAAGAGACGGTCTTGTCAGGGCGAGACTCGACAATGCCATCTGCTACAGCGGTATCCAATTCTTGCATAAGCTTCGCATAGACGCGCGGGTGCTTGACGAGGAAGTAGAAGACGGCCGAAAGCGAGATGGCGGTTGTTTCTGAGCCAGCGAACACCATAGATGTGCATGTCGAAAGGATGCGGTTATCGTCCATGAACTCATGGTCGTGGCTTGCTTGCGCAAACTTGGAGAGGAGGTCGATGCCGTGAGGGTTGGCTTTCTCGTCGTCGGAAAGACCGAAACGCTTGATCTTCTCGACTTGTGTGGCTCGCTCGTTGGATCGGTTCAGGGCGAAGAGGGTGACGGGGTGGACACGCTTGTCCAGGCCGATGCGCTGTGCGAGGAGGCTGATGGGGTTCTTCCAGAGAAGACGGTCGAGGATAGGAATTTGACCGACCTAAAACGCGTAAGTATGACCCCATGCATGCCAGGTTCTGCTTGCGACGACTCACCGGTGCGACATAGTCAAAGAACTTGCCCAAGAAGCCAATAATGTTATCCACGTCCTTGTTTCCCTCGACAAAACCCAGTCGCTTACTCCACGTCAACTCGCCGATAACGTCGAAGGCGAAGAACTGCAGCCATTGACTGAAGTTGCAGCTCTGGCCAGTTCTCGCGTACATGTCCTCTGTCTTGTCCAGCCAGTATGTGAGCGTCGAGCTGACGAGAGGCTCGTAGTTGACGAGCGAACTCATGGAAAAAGCGTTGTTGACGCATCGGCGGTACTTCGCGTGGAAGTCTTCGTCGGTGGTGGAGAAGAGGGAAAGCAGCGGTGCGCCTTTGGAAACGGCGCCTTGGACGGGGTAGAAGTCAGACTGGAGATGTTAGCTGTCGTTCAGGAGATTGACCGAGACGTGCATACCTTGGTAACACCCTTGTTCAGCCCATAGATAGCTTTGATAGCCTTCGGGTCCGCGAAAGACAGGACGTTCGGCCCCAATCTGACGATGTCTCCATGCTTGCGATGCAACGCGAGATTGGTCCATTGATGATTGTGCTTCGACACATCCCACAGCCGCCACCAGTTGGTGTATCCCGCAGCCCAATGTCCAGGGTATTTGTTCAGGCCGTTCCAGTACTTGTTGTTGAGGAGATATGCGATGGTGGTCGTAGCCAGAACAAGCGGCCAGTACTGCACCAGCAGCGGGACGATCTCGTTGGCCAGCATGTCGCTCGATCAATCTACCCGGTATTAAGGTATTCGATCCGGGGTCCAGATAACGGTAGCACGTGAGTAGGGATATAGCAGAGTAAGCCGCGCGACACGTATGGAACGCTCGCCCGGGGCAAAAGCTCATATAAATGGCAGCCAGCCGTCCGGCCTGTGCCGCCCACTTCCCGCGTCGTCAGGCAGTCGGGTCGGAGTCGGAATCGCCATCGCAACGCGTCTGGGTGCTTGCGCAGGATTGTGTGTGTCGGCAGTTGATAGCTGAGGCGTGAGATGATGAAGGTGGGTCGGTGGCTGGACTGGAGCGGCTTGGAAGGATGACGCGGGGACAGTAGCTCCGGGGCGCTTTCGCGGGGTAAACCTCGTCCATCACGCTGAACGCCCATCCTCAGCCCTATTCATTGGCCTCAAAACTCGGTTATCGCGATGCATCCAATTTATCTACTTGGCTCTGATTGGCTAAATCGCCTGTGTATAACACCACGCGGGATTGAAGTGATCGCAAACCCAAGTCTTTCAGAGCGCCTCAAGATTCCGCGCAGCATCGCCAATGTGCTCTGTGCTATTCTTGAACTGCCGATTATCGTCACTTCGACAGCTAAACCTTGTGTGAGACGATAGCGAGGGTTTGTGGACCTTGACCGTGTCGGCAGTTGTATTCGAATGTCATAATTGCAACTGCCGATATCTGAAGAGGGAATGGGCGCCGAAGCCTCCGAGGCCTCGTCACGTGGCCCCGGCTACATCTGGCCCTCGGCTGACATGTAACCTTTCCAGCAATTTGTGAGAATCATGAAACTCCATGTTCGTACGAGTCGTACAACGTAAGTGCGTTTAACGATCGGCAAAATTGTGCGCAATTTGTGTGCAATGCATGGCCCAAAAGCAAGCTTATTATAAGCACAGATTGCGAAATGTGCGCGCGGGCTTCACTGCAATGGTGGACGAGCTGGGTGGCATGTCTTGCATATAAACATGGGTAAAGCCCAACTGCGTAACCCGGATATATGCAAGCTCAGCAGCATCTCGACGTCAGCGGCCCTCCCGCACTTCTCTTTCGCCTTCATCTTTCTCCGCATCACGAGATATACTCAAATGTCCAGTGCAATTTGATAAGAGAAGTAGAGATTGAGACACATTTGTGTACGAAAGAATTATGATCAAAGATTTGTATTGCTAGTATAGAGCAGTAGTACTTCTTACACAATGTTATGTCATGCCAAAGTCTCAACCGCCATCTACAGCTTAGCCGGTGTTGAACCGACTGAAGCCATCCTGTGCTCCAGCACAACAGAACTATACTAGAAGGACGAGAACCAACACCCTGATCCATAGGAAAGTGTGACTGCTTAGCCAGTGCACTGGTAATCGTAGTTCATGCGCGAAGCATCCGTATCCTTGGGAACATAAATAGTAACCCGCCTCCCATCCGCCTCAAGCGTACCCACATACGAGTCGAAAAAGGGACGCCAGTAGACCTGACCAGTTCCACCAGGGCAGTCAATGTTGATGGTAACAGACGTGGTGCTAGTCATGGTCGTCGAGAAACCGGCGGAAACGCCAATCTCTGCGCTGACTGCGTCCCATGCACTTGCACCCAGACTGGCGCTTGCCGTGATGGAAAAGGTCTCTGACTTTGCCTCTGAGACTGTGTAGGCGCCGTTGTTGGGGACTTGGGCGACGAAGACGGCGGAGCCGGGCATGTAGACGTTGTAGGATGTGACGACGTCTGAGAACCTGTCCGCTTGCTGCATCGTGATAGGTTAGCTTTCGGAGGGAGAAGGTGATGAAGCTGGTGTACATACCCGGCTCTCCAATCCATTGACTTCAGGTGCCGCGGCAATCTCCGCCACCAGGCTTTGAAGCTCAGCCTTGTTCTCCTCAACAGTGATCTCCTTGTAGCTGGTTGCTGTAGCCGTAGACATCAGGCGCCATTCAGTGGCAAGCCTGATGGCGACCTCAGTCCAATCCGCAGGCGGAGCTGGTGACTGGTAGCCGCCCGTATCCTCTGCGCAACCATTTTCGATGGCTCTGGCTCTTCCACCCCAGCTAGAGGCAGAATCGCAGACTTCATACTCCTCGTTGTTGCAGAATGAGATACGGCAGTTGCCTCGCGTCCAGATGCGGCATTCTCTTGGGATGACGCACACACTCATGTCTGGGTTGGTGCCCTCGCCAAAATAGCCGTTGCCACTCATGATGTTGCGGCCTGTGCATTTGCAAGAAGCATCAGTCTTGCTCTTCTATGACGAAAAGGATGAAAGCAAGGAGGGTCGGAGTACTCACAGTCAGCCCAGTTGGGCTGCAATCTTGCCTCGCAGAAGATACCGCCAGTTTGCGTTCCGTCCCAGTCCTCTTGACGAGGAGCAATTGGGGAAGAAGTTCCCATTGCCGCAAGCATCGGCAAAAGGGTGAGAATGTAGTTCATCATGTCGAAGATGGAGTCTTGAGGTCGAGGATGAACCAGGTGATATGAGAAGAAGGTGTTTGGCTGTGATGATGATTTCGAGAGCAAACCAACACCTCTTTATACCTTTCTGCCCTTCCATCTACCTCACGAGCATCCGTGTATGTAGCGTCATGGCTGGCCTGACTATGCACAATGTCTACTATCGAACATGGGATATGGTTTGCCTTGAACGTGAACCACAGCTCTGAGCTCTACCGATTGGTGCTCTCGTACACTATCGTTGATGTGCATACCTCTGGGGCCAGAAGTAATGCGCTACTCAGAGTATACGATACTTGGCTGCTGTCATCCAGTGTCTTAGAACGATTGTCTAAGATTAGCAGAGCCTCTTGCCAGGCAGAAGCATCCGAGTTTCCCGGTGGTGGTAGATTTGGGGGAGTGGAGAAGGTGCTGGAATGAAGACCTCAGATATCTCGATCGCAGGACGATATCACAGTCCCAATAACTTCTTGTGCCTGCTCCTTTAAGACTTTAGTGCCTTCCATTCGTGCGTCTTGCAGAGATATGACAGGGCAGACGTCATGAATCGAATGTTTTCCATCATATCATGTGTTCTCAAAGAGAATTCGACAAGACTGAGCCAACCTCCTCTTTCAGCTTCATCATACGCCCTTCGAGGCAGCCCGGCATGGACATGCATCGGCTAACACGGCGCGGGCCTAACATCCCCACGTTCCTTTCCCCAAGGCTCTTCTATGGTCGAGGGTTTGGTGAAGGCCACGGCAAGTCCGATGTACGTGCGTAGGCAAGGTTTGGAGCCTCGAGGCGAGCGAAAAAGAGGCACCAAGACGACCGCCAAGTGCCAAGAATTCCGATCACTCCACAACCACCATTAATGTTCGTCTCTTCAGGGCTATTTCCCCACAGTAAGCTGCTCAATGTAGCGAAAACATGCGAATGTAACGAATGCGATGCAACCTGTTCACGTTAGTTTGAACATATTTACGCCCTGCAGGTGCGATGGGGCGGACTACTGTTGCAGCCCATATTGACCTTGACACCGGAGTATGTCATCCATCCGATTATCCGTCTGAAAGACAGCGGAGCCTCTCATCCTTTCCCAAGACGTAGTCGCCAGTTGATGCCTCGCGGGGGGCCTGTTGCGGTGCGAGCCGCACACCCGTCACTGCAGGTACCTTGATGTCCTCTCCGCTCTTGGCGAACTCCGCTGAAAGACTGCTACGTCATGGTAGGTCCACCGTGAGGCTGATTCATATAGCAATGTAAAGACAGCATGTGCCTACTCTCGAAATGTTTTTGATGCTTGATACTTCCACTCATACCGGGTTGTATTGACTATCATGGCCAATTTTGTCCTCCTAGCTGCATCGCTCCTTCTCACCTCATGTTCCGCGCGAGAATCGAATGACACATCGACGGAAAGATGTCAAGGCCCCATTGACAGTATCGCCAAGGGTAACCAGTACTTCAACTCGACCGGAACAGCCCGCCTACCCTCAAACCAACTACACGATGACGACTGGTACGTCAGCGTCACCATCACCGATAGACGCGATCCGAATCACATCTACGGGACCGAAATGCCCTGGCAAGAGAGGGAAGCGTTTATAAGTGTTCCTGATTCGCTGGTTGGGAGTCAAGATGGCAATCAGACGGAGTACTGCGTCTACGAGCTCCCGGGGCAAGACGCCTCTTCGCAGCAGGAAGCTGGAGATTGCAGCGGCGTGCTGAGCGACGACTGCATTGACGCCTTGATGAAGAATACGCCGGTCATAGCGGATGGCCAATGTTATAAGCCAGAGAATGTCGAAGACGCCTGTGGGATGGTTGCATCGCAGCCAGTTGGTCAGTTTATCCCGCTCTTATCTTAGTTCAACGACATGATCTTGTAACCTGGCTCGCCTATGAGTACAGTAAGCTCATACTAACACCGAGAAAAGGCACACCATCGAACTTCAACAGTACCGAGTGTAGTTTGTCCGAGATGCCGCATGTCGAACTACCGGACAATTATCGCACCTACTACGCCCACTACGTGCCTGTATTTGAAGGCGGGGGTGGTTATGAGAATTTCGACCTTTACGATAGGCACGTTCGCGAAGCAGTGCCCATGGTCTTCACCATCAAGTCTCCAGGTGGCACCATCGCCCACAAGGCCGTTTGTGTAGCACCAAACAATGTCGTTGACGGTAGCCGTGTTCCAGATTCTGCTGCTGCTCAGTTGTCCTCCGGGGCTTCACTGGTAGCAGCCCTTATTGTTATGGCTTTTGTATCTGTTCTCTCCATAGCCTGATAAACGTTGGTGTTTCTGTACCTTTTACTTGCAGTTGAAGTAATGACCATCGCATCTGGTGACTTGTAGCATTAGCGCTGTAACGGTAGTAACACCGGGAATGACAGTTAAGCCGAACATCCAGCTTCAGCCAAAAGTATGATCGGGTGACCAGCAATGCGTCAAAGTCTCGGAGGTTGAAGCGACATGTTGGTATGCAACTGGTGTGGGCTGCAACTAAGTTTGGAGCGCGAGAAAAAGCAAAGAGATCGACGATATGTATGTCGCTGCCTCGAAGCAATACCCGGATACCGTAGACATGTGATCGCGGACAGGGTCGGCGTCTCGCTACACCCGGTGGTGGGCTGTATATTGGAAGACATGCGCGATAATGATTGTCGAGTCGGCAGACGTGTATAGCCGAGATCCTGTCGTGAGAGCTTGCTTGAAAGGTTGTCAAGTGAGTGTGTTAACCAAAAGCGGGAGGTGACAGTACCGTTACAGCAACTCCTGACGATGGAGCGTATTGGGATCTGAGATTAGCTATCATCTAGCCGAAGATCTGCATGGCTTTTGACTCGTAAACACCTGTCGTCAGCCTTGATTCCTCGGGGCTACACTTCATGATCATCTACCCACGCGTGCATAACTTCTCATCAGCCTGAACACTGCACATACTTCTCCGCGGCGGTGCACAACGACGACGGCTAATTATTTCCGACTAGAAGAAATATGAGGCTTTGGTGGGTACGTCAGCGGCTGCGTAAGAGGGTCTAGATGCGACAGTGTAAAAGCGAAGTTGCTATCCCAGCATACAAGTCTAGCCGAAACAACGAGCAGTATGGCGAAGCGCCGACAAAGCTCAACAATCATGCCCTGCCTGCGCTCCGCTCAAAAAGGCAGATTAGGGTCCAGGAACATGGCTTGACAAGCGACGACTACCGATCGCCTGTGAGTGCAACCCCATTTGGTTTCAAGGTTCCCGTCGATTAGTCGATGAGGTTGGGAACGACGGGCCAGCCATACCACTAGGACCACGATCCGACACCCCCGATCGAGCTGTTCTCAACTCTGCAGTGTTGAGGTTCGCGGGCGAGAAGATGGTGTGGTGGATACCAGAGCTACGGTAGCCCAAGCTCCCCGTCAAGGATGATGGGGGCGGCTACCATATCTGACCCCGCTCACATCTCATAGGGAGACCGTTTGGACGAGATACACCCCCTGAGTTGACGACTCCCTATATTTCCCATGTTGTCTAGAGACCTTGTCTCATTGTTTCTCAACAATTCTTCTCCTAGATGATTAGAACTGATCACTGGCCTAAGACGATACCCAAGTGGCTTGGGTAAAACGGAAGATCGGACGAGGCATCTCTAGGATCTAGCGCTTATACCAACAAGAACGCTTGGATAGCTTCGGAGAGCGAGGCACGAGCCAAATAAGTCTTGAAGACAGGGAATCGTAGTGTTCGACTTCGGTGCTCGAGCCGGGGGCATCAGCCATGGGTTTTCAGGGACTTTGGATAGAGCAGGGACCACCTTGTGTAACCAGAGTATATAGGCCTAGCAGCCCGTGTGAGAAGATGGTTCAATCAGCAGTCGGGCTGGCTTGTGATCCGGCTGCATAGTTGCCCACCTCTATGGCAGGTGAAGAGACGATATTTCCAAGTTTGACTGGGCCCGGAAAGCGAGCGCATTAGAGGAAAGCAGCCGGAGCAGGAAAATTCTGCAGCGCTTGAGGTCAAGACAAGTGCCGTGCTCCGCACATGCGCTGGTAAGTATGCTCGAAGCTTGCTTGCTGTGGGTGAGTCATCTAGATCCACGTCGCGATGCAGGTGTATGCGGCCGTCGCTTCGCCGACATATTGTGAAACACGACGGATGAATTGCGTGCATGATCAGTCATACGTACATATGCTCCATGACGACGCTCTATCACGAGCAAGACATTGTCTGTGTTGGAAGGTAAATGTTGGGCGAGGACGGGCCTGGGAAAGGGTTGAGTCGTGGGGGAAGGAGCCACCCGCTTCGTGTCGGCTTAAGTGGGGCACCTGACCCGTCTGTGCCCCTGTCAAGCTGAAAACGCAAGAAACGGTCACGAGTATCCTTACACGTTGCGATATAACATCATGCTCTGTATGCACGCACGATCCTTTTGAATCATGAAATCGGCACCAGCAAAAGTAAAAGCATCATGACAACGTGGGGCAGTCGGCCACGGCCGCGGCGCATGTCCAGGACGTTGCCCCGCGTATTCGTTTGCTATGAGGCGCAGCGACAAATCCCAGCTGCAGGTCTCGGGGTCGCCTTTGCAGGTCTGAAACATGGCAATGTGGGATGCTATCGATAAGTCCGTACACATGGGACGACTGGACGGCGCTGGGGTTGCCGAGCATTGCGTAATGCCCTCGCTTTGCTTCACTTGAGGATACTTTTCTCCAATCGCGCAGCTGTAGGCCTAGCAGGCGATGCGGATTGAAACGGAAACGACCTCTCCGATGCAGCCTTTCTTTTGCGCAGAAACGACCGTTTCCCATAGAGACAGGTGGTATCGGCCGGAGCGAGTTATTGCCAGTTTATTGCCAGGTCACTGTGGGTAACATCGTCATGAGGCCCGATTGTGTCGGTACTGTAGAGGTGACATCGGCAGCGCCGAATTGATCTGCCTCGAGGTGGCATCGTCACCGCCGAAGCGCACGTGTCTGCGGCTGTGCAGGCTAAGCGAGAGTGGCGCAACTGCCGACGCCACTGCGACAATGCTCTTGCTTCTTCGCAGCAGCAGCATCATCGTCATGAGGGCACAATTGCGCAAGCAGGAGTCGTAGAATATTCGCATCGTGCTTCAGCAGGCGCCGAAGCTACTCGACCATGGACGCTGGCATGATAAACTTCTGGGCCGTCTGCGGCTCACATGATCGCGGGTTTTTCGGTAGAGAACCCTGCTCGCACCCCTGCTGGGCCCGCTGATTGGGCTGACTGTTTCGAGCCCATTTTTAGGCTCAAGCAACGTCAACCTGTAGATGGCCCAAGACTACCACGACTACACCCACCGTGAAAGTCCTGCTCTGCGAAACCCCTTGACAAGCGTAGAGGGCTCGTCCTCCCTTTAACCGCACACTCCCCAAAAGGGTAGCAAAGCCGCTGCCGTGCTCTCTGCTTCCGGACGCCCAAAGAAGGCTTCTGGAATCCGTGTCATGTCGCAACACCAGATGCTCGACGCCCAACTATAAGCGCAGTTGCAGGCTCGAGGATGCTGCGACGCTCGCCTACGGCGTGTATCCATGTGCAGGTTTGGTGGCTGCTGCGGCCTCCCGATCAGGTTTCTGCGGCCTCGCATGCATCTGCAACCGTGAGGCCGTCTTCAGCTGCCCTGGTGCACAGCACTATTCGGTCATAGTCGTCGATTACATTTGCTATTTCCACTGGGGAGGCTGATCAGACGCCTCTTTCGCAGTCATCTCCGCGCGTGCATGGCCGAGTAGTCGTTCGCACAACACTCGCAGCCATGAGAGCATCGCAATCTTCGCGCACCACACGCATCCGCCTATCCACGCGTGCGCAACGCGCTCGCCGTGTCCGTCGGTCAGCTTAGATCCGACTAGACCTGCAGCTGCGGACTCTGGCCGTATGCACGTTTAAACAAGCTAGATGCGCAGTGCAGCTAAACGGGGCAGTGTGCATGAAATCCTTGCCGACAAGTGTGGCCACGCCGACCCATGATCGTCGCTTGTAAGCTCTTAAGAGATCCCACCCACCACCACCACTAGCCTTCTTCACCCTCCTCCCACCTCGCCTTCCCCCATCCTCATTCGCCCGCCCCTCCCTGTCTCTCCTCCTCAATCCAAGGCGCCTCTCGAAAAATTATACCCGCCAGAGACATTTTCTTACAACCTCTCTTTTGTTCTTTTCTTTCAATCTTTGATAAATCGTCCCATCCTAATATCGCAAACGTCTCGCACATACCACACACACAACATGCCGATCTCGTTACTACCCGCCTCGGCTGCGGCCTTTGCGCCCCGATCAAACGTCAACGTCGTATTAGCCTCCAAGGTCGAGCCATGGTTAACACAAACCCTCAAGAGGGTCAACCGCGTCAAGCGTCCGTTGAACAGCGTCCAGCAACACACGAGGTGTCTGACAGAAACGCTTTCCGGACCCAACGCTATGTGGTCGCTGTGCTCAATCATGGTACCAAAGGCCCCGGACTCGGAACTGCGCAAGGACAACAACCCGCTGGTAGAAGCGCTCTTCAACTACCAGCTCATCCACATCGAGGCCTACGTCGTACACGTCGACATGGTTTCACAACATGAGGTCGCATTCAAGCTTACACCGGAGACCATCGAAGCGCTTATCGAGTACCACAAGGACATCTACTCCGTCGATGTATCCGCCAGCACCTGGGAATGGGCAGAGAAGGAGCAACAGCTGAAGAAGCTCCAGGATGGATTTGTCCAGGCTGTCAACCGCTACGTCTTCCGAACTGGTGTCAAGGCTCTGGAAGGACTCGAGGAGGATGGTGCGGGAGAGCTACTCGAGGGACGAGGTGAGGATGTCAAGAGCGCCATCATGGGCCTGTTCCTCCCGCTCCTTCCTCCTCCTCCCAGGATCGTCGACGTTGTACGACCAGCACCGCTTCTCCCCAGCTCGCCGGGCTCAGCCAACTGGTGGGTGCCAACACAGCAGTACCAGTCGCACTCAGCCCCGGTCGACACTTGGAGAGTGGTTCCATCGACGCCCAGCCCGACCATCGCTACCTGCGGTGAAACTGGACCAACATTTTGGAGCACTATGGGCAACATGGGCTTCGAAGCGATCCAGCTTCCGTCACCGACACCCTCCTACAGCCAGCCATACAACTCGACGAGCCCGTACGCACCGTGCACCAGCCCATATGCGCCAAGCACCAGCCCATACACGTCAAGTTCGTACTACAGCCCGCCCCCAGCGTCGGCACCGATACCAGCCCTTCCTCTGCCGAGCGTGCTAGCCCAGCAGTGCGGGTCAAGCGCCGTTCACG